GGAAGCCTATTGGAAGTATCTGCAGTGAGAACCAAAGCTGCTCCCCTGTCGGTCAGAGTCCCTCTCACACAAAGCTGGTTTGCTAATTTGCCCATCCTCTGGAACCACATAAGGAATCATAAAAGGATGCCCCCATTCACAGTGAATAAGAGAGTCACATGGAGCAAAGATAACAGAGGCATTAAGGGAACACATACACAGCTGATGAGAAGAAGGGATGCTTCAGAAACTCAGGCAATAGCAATACAGCAAGCAAAGCCTGGAATGTTGATTTGACAATGATCATTGTCATTTCCCTTTGCAGTGTGTGCAATGGGATCAGAAAAATAGAGGGAGCTGAATTCATCCTACAGCAAACTGTGCTGACATAAGTCACTTTCCATCCTACAGATTTGGCTTTAATTTTGAGTTGACCTCATTAGTACAAACAAAGTATTCTTCAAGACTGATGCTGAATTAGAAACTGCTTTGAATATTTCTAGAGACTAACACAATGCACTATAATTAAAGACATTATAATCAGTACTTGATTTCTTTTGCTTTGACTTCACTTTGCCTTATTTATTTATTTATTCGTTCACTTTGGAAAGGTCTGAAAGTCAAATTCAATTTTGTCATTTGCTCATGCTGGGAGCTGCACTGTTCTTCTGGAAATGGCATGGAAGTGCTGGTAATGAGATGTCAAAACCATCAAGCAATATTTACAATTTAAGGGCCAGTTCAAATATAAAAGCAGTTTGTATTTCTGCACCACAGGCACATCTGCAAAATCTTTGGGGAACATAGAAATCTGTTTTCTCCTTATTGGCTTGGCCTTTCATTCCTAACAAGTCAGAAAGAATGGCAGGCGTTCTTCAAAGAGTAAAAGAAATGTAAAAAGTAAATAGAGAAGTGGGTGACTTTTGTTTGTTTGATTTTGTATTTTTTAACACGGCTCAGGTGTAGAACTGAAAGAACTCTTAGAAAGGCACTGTTTACTCAGACAATTGCAGCTCTGTTTACTTAAACTGTGGTCATGATGTCTGAAGTTGAGCCAACCCATTCCAGTGTAAGTTAACAATGGCCCAGGAATGCCTCTGTGAACCACAGGCAGAGAACCACAGCGGGTCCTGGCAACCCTCTAAAAAATCCACCTGGAGACCACTCTGTGAGAGACACTCAAGCATCATGCTAACTAGCCAGGTAATGGTTTCTCTTTGGTGACTGAGGAAGCTCACATTCATAGATGTCTGGAAATCACAATTTCAAGTACATCCTCTAGCTTCAAGTGTCTCAAGTGTCCAGCTTAAAGTGGATCTACCAGATGGATCTACCAGGACAGACTCGGGCACTACTCTGTCTGAAGTCAGTGGCAGCTGCAGCTATGAGCACATTTGAAATAATTACTCTGAATCAATAAATCTTACAGGATTTACTTGAGGTCAAGAAGAGGGGCTAAAAGTACCCCAGAAAAAACTATTTGGGCTTATCTAGGTAGTGACAAGAATGGAGGAAGCATCTAGAAAAGGCTACGAGGATACAGACCACAGAGGAGGAAGGTCACCTCTGAAGTTCCCCAAGCCCTTTAGGGGCCTCAAAGGAAATGTCTTGACTTCTCCTCCCAACTTTTCCTTCCCCTTCCTCATCAGCATCTATTCTTAGCAGCTTTGTCTGATAGCTGGGAATAGAACTTGGTTTCTTAATTCCTCACCTCCTGTTACCTCATATTTTGTCTCAGTGTGCTCAGGGTGGTGACAGGGGCTTAGACCTTGCATGGAGCTGTTTATGTTTACACAGTGACTGCTTTCCCATTAAGTAGAGTTTCTTTGGCTACTGGGACATACTATAGGCATGAAATCAGTCCTGTTTGGTTCTAATTATTTAATTCCTTCAAACAACATTACTAAGTCCTGAAAGTGCCATGCCTTGCCCAGATACTAAGTGTTTCATTCAGCAGTGAGCACTTGGTGCCAAAGATTTACCCATTTTCATGGTTCACAAGTTCTGTTGTTGGCACAAAACATGAAAACGACACCAGAACGTAATGCTTTTTCTTCTTCCCTGCTGCATTCAGCAGGACCACTTAATTACACTTTAAGATGGAACTGGCTCAAAAGTTGGGCAGCCTGCAGGGCTGCTGGCCAGGGAAGCTGCACCTGCACTGCTGCCAGCAGGCAGCCAGAGAAGATGACACCCAGGCCCCAGCTCTGCTGTTGGGAGTGACTTCCCACGCCAAAAACAAGTGGAAAACACTGTCTTTCTTCTTCCTTAGTCCCATTACTCCTTACTCCATCTACCCCATCTAATCATTATGACATCTGAGTGCCTTTGTGTGTCAGCTTCCTGTGAAGTAATCACCTAAATCCCTCTCTGAAACAAAGCAGACCCTGCTGAGGAACTCACAATAGGTGCCTTTCACTGGCAGGACAACCTTGGCCTCAGTGGCACTTATAACAAAGCTTCCATATGTGCACCAGTATGGGCTGATCAGTCAGATCAACACCACACAGGATCAGAGCCTGGGTATTTGTGAGCATGAAGCAATAATACCTCACAAAATTTCTCCATCTTCCTGAAAAAAAAAAGTTTGTGGTGGGTTTTTTGTTTGTTTGTTTTTTGTTTGTTTTCTTGAATATGCTATAGCACATTAATCTGCCACAGACTTTTATCTACATTTATGAGTCTGTTTAAGGAGATAAAAAAGAAGCACCAGCTCCAAGGGGTGATGTCTGTCTGTCATCCCCACTTTCAGAGACTGCCTGGCTATTGTCTGCTCTTCAAGCCCAGGCTAGGGCTACCTTTTAATATCTCCTTTGGCTGATATCCTGGGTTTTCCCCCTCCCTGGGGGAGGGATCAAGGGCGATAAGTTCTATTCTAATAGAAGACAAGTCAATGATAATCTCTGGGCATCTGCAGTGAAGAGGTATTTCTACAGCTCTAGCTGGGATTAGGCACATAATGGATCAATGAAAGATCCCACCGTTCGACGGTTATAGCATCATTCATTAGTGTTAAGATTTGAACCTGAATCAACAATTGAGTTAGAAGATTGAAAGAATTGCTTTCAGTATTTGAAATAAATTGTAACAGCCCTGTAAAAGTCCCCTGAGGTGTCTCTCTTTCTCTCCCTATACATATATATAGAGAGATTGGTTTTGCTGAACACTTAAAATTAGATGAAAGTTGCTGAGCTTCTACATAGGAAGAAGAAAAAGCTGAGCTTCTTATGTAAAGTGAAAGGGGGCAAAATAATGTATTTTTGGTTTGCCTATCAAAGCACTTCAGGAGCAGTCTTGATCACAGGATTCAGGCACTGATTTGTTATTCAGTCACTTACCATCTCTCATATATAACAAACAATTAATGAACATCTAATAATAAACAATACGCCCCCTTCTTATACACAAACATGCAAACACACACACAGGAACTCCTTGTAAATGAGCAACACTGATCCCATCCACTTTTTCTTGTCATGAAACTAGGACAAGTTCCTTTTTAATTAACTGCTTAGTGCAGAGACCACTAAAAAAAAATAACTACCCAGAGGACTTAGACACCAAGTTTTCACTCTCAGCTCCTTATAATTTCTGGAACAAAGACCCATCCACCCACTACTAATTTGGTAAGAAATTAAATGTGATAAAAAAGCAGTTCCACAACTGGGTGATGAATGTTATGGGGTACTTAATGATTAATTACCATTATAATACAAAACAGCCTGGTTTCGCTGTAGAAACTTGATTTCATAGCATTATTTTTCCATAAAGACAATCTTCAGGTTGGTGCAAAGACTATGTAATGCATCAGTGCCAGAAAGCTTCCTCCTTGTTTCTGAAAAGTAGAAGCAACTATAAAATGCTTGGAGATCTTGAACCAGATCTCTGTCCTGCAGCCCAGCCTGGGCAATGGAGCTATGGTGGGGTGGCTGCACTGTCCTCCCCTCTGAGGCCAGTATATGTTGGTGCTTGCCCACCCTCTATATTACCTGAGTGCTAACCCAGCCCTATGTTATTCCCATTGTCCCTTAGTTTTGTAGGCATAAACCCCAAGGCCAGCTAACTTGGACCTGTATCCCTCTCTCAGAGCAGTTGCCAGGCAGGTTTGGGCAGAGGATGGCATCCAACCTGTTGGGTCACCAGGATAAAGTTTAACTGCCTACTACAGGTTGAACAACCTGTTCCTGTGACTGTTTTCTAGCTATATAAAATCAACACAGCTCTTCCTGTTGGCTTGCAGAAAAAGAAAACAATTAAGCAATATCCAGATTTTTATGAAGTAGATGCCTACATAATTAGTGGCAGCACAAATACATGCCGAGCCAGCAGATACTGGAAGAAGAAAGATCATAACTACGGGAGTCACATCAGATCATAATTAGCACAGAAAGCTATTAAAGAAATTATTTAAATTATGACATAAATATATAGAAAAAATTATCTGATTCTTTGTCTGTGTTTATCACACAGGTCAGTTTTGAAATTGCAATTGCCAGTGAGAGAGCTCCCTGAATCATTTACTAAGCATAAATAATTTAAAACCAGTCAAAAAGCAATGCAGTCAAAAATTCTGCCTGTTGCTCCGTTATTACTATTGAAACCGAACTCAGATGCTGATGTTAAGTTTGTTGACACTGAGAAAATCAGAAAGAGTGAACATTCCAAAGCCTGTATCCGTGTCCTCCCTGACTGCCTGTGCTATTAGTTTGGGGATAGTTGTTTACTGCTGATAGGCATCAGCCACCTGCCAGAGCCACTTGGAGAATACTGAGCTGCCAACCAAGCCAGCTATGCATGGAATGACAGTAGGTTGACTTTTATATCTACAAGGCTGACTCGAGCAAGTTAAGGTTTGGAGAATGCAATTTTTACAGTAGGGACTTTCTCAGTTGAGAGAAAGCTCTCTTAGGTGCTCTATAAAGCTCCACGTACACGGCCCTGTAAATAGCTATAAATAATAATTGCATTAACAAAGTCATATCTAGTGATAGTAGAACGGACATTTTCTTGAAAGAGCTCACCTGGGAGATGCTGCTGGCTTCCAATACCTGCAGAAGAGATACTGCCCATCAGCATTGATGATATGGGGCAGATCCTTGTATGGGATGTTTTGAGGACTCCGCTTTGGCGAACTTTCCTCTGGCATTCTGGAAGAATGACCTGCAAGATGTTAGAAGAAACAAGACATACTTTAAAACAGGTGAAAACAAGAAAAGCTGATGGGCTTGGCAGCCACAGACACTCAAGAAAGTCAATCAGTAAGGCAAGTACCACTGATGAGAGGCTGCTCCCAAAACAACAGCCAAAAAGCCCCCAAAATCTCTGCTTTAAAACAGAAATGTAGCAAATGTTTTTGTTCAGAAAAGGCTCACATTTAGAGGTAGAGCATTAGGGGAGGGAGAGAGCAAGAAGAAGGGAACATCAATCCACCATCAGTACTTCCTTTACAGCTTTCTATTCCACACTTCTCCCATCTGAGTTTATTTTGCATCATTTTGTGAAGCAGATCCTAAAGAGAATATTTTAACTGCAATCAAGAGCAAATTATGCAGCAATCGCTACAGATATGGAAAGACAGCTGCATAAAAGATTTATCTCTGGCGGAACATCTCCAAAGAACAGTGGAGGGTACACAGCAGAGGTATCTGCCACCGTGTCATCATTTAAGATCTTCTCTGACATCTCAGGCAGGAAGGTGGCGGCGGCGGCGGGGAGCGAAACATTTCCAAGAGAATTTGCCACAAACCTGTTTTCATCCTGTGCAAGCGTTTGCATTCTAGTGAGGAGCCGGCATCGCAAGTCAAACGCAAGCAGATGAGGCTTTTTGCATCTCGCTGCGGAGCCGCGTTCACAGCCCGGGTCCCTCCCGGCGCTGCGCGGGGCTCGCCCCGGCTCCTCTGGCCGGCTCGCTCTTTGAGGAAAGTCGCTTGGGTAATTCACCACTTCTCGTTCATCACTTTTTTTTTTTTCCTTCTCAAACAAATTGCGTGTGCGGGCTGAAGTGGCGGTGGTGGGAGGGGAGGCTGGGAAGGGTTGGGGAGAGGGAGGGCTGGCGGGTGGGAAAGCTGCAGTCCACTTTCCAGAAGCTGCTGCACGTACATCAAAGGCACCTTGAACACATGCAGCTGGAGCAGCTCACAAAGTTCCTGCCGCGGCAGGTTGTTTGCAACTTTACTTCCTTCCTGCCACTTACAGTTCGGAGGCCGCGGCGACGGGGGGAGGCGAGGGAGGGGGAGACCTTTCCTCAAAGCGATCCCCGCTGCGAAGCCATCTCTCGTGTAAGCGCAACTTCCCCAGCCCCGCGCTGCCAGGCGAGGAGCGGGAGGGAGGGGAGGAGGAGGAGGAGGAGGAGAGGGAGGAGGGAGGATCCAAGCACCGACGCGATGCCAGGTCGCCAGCCCCGCACACACATCCTCCGGCCGCGGCCGGGCGCGGCGGCCCCGCGTCCGCCGGCGGAGCCGAAGCGCGGTGGCTCCACCGCACGGTGCGCACCGGGCTGCTCCCGGAGACGGGGAGACAGCGGCGGAAGGGCGGTGGGTGGGTGGGTGGATGGATGGAGGATGCATGGATGCGCGGATGCGTGGATGGATGAAAGGATGGATGGAGGGGCGGGCGGTGCTGCCGCACCCTCGGCTGGGCTGGGCCGGGCTGGGCGAGCAGCGGGGGAGCCCCGCGGTGCCCCCGGGCCGCCTGGCCGCGGGGAGGGCGGAGGCACGGCCGCCCCTTCCCCGCTGCCCTCCCGCGGGGGCTCCGCACCGGCTCCGCCGCCGCCCCGCTGGGCTGAGGCGGCCGCCGCGGCGGGGGGAGCGGCCCCCGCAGCCCCCGGCAGCCCCCGGCACCGGGATCCGGGCACGGGAGCGGCCCCAGCGCCCCCGCAGCCCCCCGCAGCCCCCGGCACCGGGATCCGGGCACGGGAGCGGCCCCAGCGCCCCCGCAGCCTCCCGGCAGCGCCCGGCAGCCCCCGGCACCGGGATCCGGGCACGGGAGCGGCCGCTCAGCTGCTGCGGGCTGCGGGACAGCGGAGACACCCCGGGGGCGGGAGCGGAGAATTTCGGAGAGAGGACATCCTGGGCACCCCGGTCCGAGCAGCTCCTTGGGATCCCAACACCAAACTTCGCTGTTTAATGTGCATCTCTTCAGGCTTTGAAGCCATACCGGGGAGATCACTCCGATACTAGCCCAGAGAAGTGCCCAAGCTTTGCAGCCTCATTCAGGGTAAAGGTCATTTATAAACACAGCATATGATTTATACTCACATAAATCATTATATCACTAGAGACTATAAGCAATACATGTGCTGCTAACTCTGTAATGTGAGATCTATTTGGTGGTACATGATACTTGCTTATAAAAATTGTCACAGCAAGGTTCCCTGAAGTCAAAATAGCTCCCCAGCTTTAAGGGGATCTATCCCAATACAGAATTTTGTCATTTAATACTGCTAAGTGGTTAGCATTGATTGAGCACAGATTCATGCATTTTACATTTCATCAGCTCCTTTCATTTTTACATGCCTACATA